AATTTCGTGCTGAATGGATGCAACATTTAAAAGAGTATAAAATTTATAATAGACTAAATATAGAAAAGAGGAATGTAAAAAGGAATGTAAAAAGATATAAAAATCAGTTACTTTTTTACTTTTATAATAGATAATGAAATACTAAAGTCGATATAAAAATTAAATGCTTTTCAATTAAATTTATGATCAATTTTAACTTTTACATATTTAATTTTATTAATATATATTACATTTTATAATAAATAAATTAATAAAGCAAATAAATAATTTTCTATATTAATTATTTTATCTAAAATATAATGTAATATAAGAAATTTATTTTTTAATTACATTCTAAAAAAATATTAAAAGACAAAAATTCTTCGGAAGTTAAACATAAAATAATTTATATTTTAATTTATTTGTTCTTGTAATGTTAGAATGCCCCAAATCTCGCTCACCTGCAGAAGCAAAGGTCTTCGGTGAGGGTGCGGCACTACAGGTCCCATTGGCGGACCCGCCACCGGTACCTGGTGCCCCGTCATATGAACCGAGGGTCGCGTCATACCTCGCCCACCACCACCACCACCACCACCACCCGGGCACAGTCCCATCTAGACATGCACCAACACCAAATGCATATTGCAAACTTGCACACCCAGGCCAAAAACACTAGCCAATTTTCTTACCACTGCCATTACTCTTTCCATTGCCATTTAAACATTTTCCAGATTTATACTGTTTTATGTAAATAATTAAAATTTATGTACATAATTAAAATATGACCAGAATAATGAAGTAAAATTTTCATTAAATATTAATATAAATTAAATTAAATAAATAAGAAAAAAAAATTTCTTATCACAATTTTAAATGTATCTCAAAAATAATTGTTTTTAAAACTTTAAGTTCTATAACTTCTAAACATAACTTCTAAGTATTTCAAATTATATCTCTCTATATAATTTATAATTTTTATATAAAAATTATAATTGTGAAAAAAAATAAAAGCGATTAAAATTAAAAATACATCTGATTAAAAAAATATTAAATTTAACATATATTAGCAATTATTTATAATGTCTACCGAAACAGAAAATGTTTTGGCACTGAAAGTGTAAGATCTATTATTTAGCTACTCCTACAATTACAGCAATTTTTTTAGTCTTAGTCTTTAGTTTCGCTTTCTGATCAAATTATTCTAATTAAAACATGATTTTATTATAAATTTGTTATCGTTTGTCTAATAAAATCTAGTAAAATATATTAATCAAATTATATATTTAAGTTTTTTTTTGTATTTTACTAAATAATTTTCTTATGATTTATTTAAATAAAGTGTAATTATTAAAAATTATTTTATAAAATATACTCATATATATTTAAAAATAACTTTTATATAAATATACTTTAAATAAAACTTTTATACGGGAAATATTATTTAACATACATTTTTAAAAATACCTATTATTTTTAAGTGGCAGCTTAGCAAAATATGAAAAATTATTTCTATTTGATACTGCACACAGCCGCACAAAATATTTTTTAAATAAACTTAGCAGATATGCGAAACTGACTGACACATATATTATACATGCAATCTCATGAAACGTTTTATTAATTATATGTTAAAACGTTAACAAACCGTATTATGTAATTAATTATTATCAATAAAGTTTTATGTGAGTTATCAATAGTCCTGCATTGGAGTTCATTTTGTTTATCCTAAATTCACAATTTTTTTGTGAATTTCCTTAATAAATCTTTATTTTTTCTATTAGAATATTACATACGTATACGTGTGTACACGCGCGCGCGCGCGCGTGTGTGTGTGTGTGTGTGTGTGCGCGTTTGTATTTACATGTAATTATCTTGTATGGATAGTTATCGTATAAAAATTTAACAAAAGCATGTTTTACATTTTAATTCATCAATTATGCTCTTTAATCCCTTAACTTTAATGTGATTAATTTTATTTTCTCGCAATTACATAAAAACAAATATCAAAGCGATGCATGAATTCCCAAAAAGATTAATTAATGCAAACATCGACACTTACCTGTATCGGTCCAGGATATGGCGGTGGTGGCCCTGGGTAAGGGGGTGGTGGTGGCGGTGGTGGTGGTGGCGGAGCCAATGGCATCCGTGGACCAATCATATGATTTACAGCAACCACTCTGCCAGCCATATTTGGCACTCCTGTGGCTACTCGCATGCCCAGCCGTTGCTGTTGCGAAACTATAATAAAAATAAATGTTATAAATATTAAATATCAAAATTAAAGATTTGTATAAAACATAATATAACATATTATACAAAATAATATTTATTATTTTATATAATTATTTTATATATCATATTAAAGATAGGATTATTACAGCTGTAACTGATTTAAGATTTGTTCTAAAATATAATCAATATGATTGGAAACAAGACCGTCTATATAAATATTAAGACTTTAAATACAAAGCGGCTTCCCGGTCCGAGTGTTAAGATGTTGAACTACTATCTAATATACATTCAATTAAATTGAATTAATATTTCAGAAATAAATTGAGAGCCGATGAAATTATCGGATTCACACAATCAATCTGAAACAAATAATCCCCCCAAA